CCACAGTGAGTACAGAGGTAGAGAGGTTCTGTGGGGAGCGGATGGTGCTGTCACTTCAGCCGCGCCTCTGTGTTTATAATAGACAGTAGATATGGGTGTGCGCAGGGCCAGTGGCGGAATGGCGTTCCGCCATGTTCCGGCTGAAACAAAAGCCCTGATCACAACTAGGTCTTATTTTCGGGGTAGGTCTTATTTTAGGGGAAACGCTATATATATTCTTGCCATAACCCACCACCAACAAATAACTCAAAATAAATTCCTCTACTCTTGTAATGCATGGAGATGCCATATATACTGTTACTGTAGCATTTGTTATTTGTACCTGTAGTAGGGCTCTGAAACAAAGGTACAAATTATGCCTTCAGAAAAGGCACTTAATTCAAATTGTCTCTCACAGTGATCACATGACCAGAAGCCTATCTTACTGGCTCCCAATTGTCACTCTGTGACCAGGAGCTGTCAGTAACAGCACAGTCTCAATTCTAGGGTAGCATAATTAAGCCCACTTCCTCATAAAAAGTGATCCATCTACACTGATCAGCCATAACTTTATGACCACCCACCTGATAATGAGTAGACCCCCCTTTTGCCACCAAAACATTCCTGACCCGTCGAGGCGTGGATGCATTAGACCACTGAAGGTATACTGTGGTACCTGCACCAAGCTGGCTGAAGCAGATCCTTTTAAGTTGCCCATACACTATTCCTTTTTTTTTTTGTTCAAGCAGTAGGTAAAACATAAAATTGACCTGATTCCCCCAAACACACTTTCGAGGTGGAAGGGGAAAATACTCTAGCAGGAAAGGTTGCCCACCATCAGAATACACTGACCAGTGCTGCTGGTGGCTCTGATTGTTTGAGAAGAACACGACAGGCTGTTTGTACAGAAGTTTTGAGGAACCTCCCTGAATCAAATGTTTTTTTCCAGCACATCCTACAGGTGGTCTGGAGAATTTGGGTGCAAAGTCAATACCTCAAACTCATGTTCCTCAAACCATTCTTGAACCAATTTGAATTGTGACAGGGCTCATTATCGTGCTGAAAGAGGTCACTACCATCAGGGAGTACCGTTTCCACGAAGGGGTGTACTTGGTCAGCAGTAATGTTTAGGTAGGTGGTACGTGTCGGGTAACATCCACATGAAAGGAAGGACCCAAGGTTTCCCAGCAAATCATTACCTAAAGCATTGCATTGCCTCCATTAGCTTGCGTTCTTCCCCTAGTGCATCCTGGTGCCATCTCTTCCCTCTGTAAGCAATACACACGTGCCCAGCCATCCGCATGATTTGTCAGACCAGGCTACCATCTTCCATTACTCCAGTTCTGATGCTCATGTGCCCATTGTAGGCGTTTGTGGCTGTGGACACGGGTCAGCATGGGCACCCTGACCGCTCTGGGGCTATACAGCCCCATACACAACAAACTGTGATGCCTGTTTTTTCTGCTTTCAACAGCTTCAGGGACAACATGTTTACTTGCTGTCTGATATATTTCTCTGACTTTCCTGTCGGTTAAACAGACACTAATTGCAATTTAAAAAGCCACAGATGTGGGACATTAACCTCTAATTGGCATTTTAACCCGTGTGTCACCTTGTGTGTCTGTACCAAGGTCAAACATTCCAGGGTATGTAAACTTTTGATCATGGCCATTCTGGTGATTTCTGTTATTATGATTTAAAAAGGAGCCAAACAACTATTTGATAAATGGCTTCATATGATCATCATCCTTTAATAAAAGAGCATTTTGTGGCATGATCAGTCATATTTTCAATATCAATGCCAAAATTTCACAATTTCTGCCAGGGTATGCAAACTTTTGAGCACAACTGTATATGACAAATTAAATGGATGGTTCAATATATTTTAGTCACTATAGTGTGACTTTAAGTAGTGTATTAAAGTTTAATTGGCAAAAACCCAGATTAGTCTTAAATGGTTTTTATTGTCCTGGAACATTTAATATTAAAAACATCAATCAGTGTCTGTGGCAGAGTTTCAGGCCATTGTGACCCATTTATCCAGCACAGGGATTAGAAGAGGGAGGAGAGCCATAGCACAGTGATATGGGAAAACTACGGGTCTGACTTTATTCAGAATGACATCAGACTGCTACTAAGAAGGGTGGTTGCTTAAAATTAGAGAGGACCTCGATGTACGGTAAACACATCTAGTAAAGTAATGCTTCTCACTACTCATTACAAATGTTTGTATACCAAAGTCTTTTCTTATTAGTATTGAAAAGTATTTTTTTACTAGGAGAAATAAGAAAGGCCCCCGAGAAAAAGATTGTAGATAGAGAACTTTATGAGTGAAAGTGTTGGAAGAGAGAAATCTTTTTGTCTTTTACATCAAATTCAGTTCTTCTATGCTGTACTACCAAATATATATTATAAAGGGGACTGTAGGCTGGAAGAAACAGATCGATTTTGGGTACCAAAATGTGACAGCTTATATTAGTATTAAATCCAGTTTTATTATTAACATTTAAAAAGTCACACTTAAAAAAGTTGTTCGTCTTCAACACAGTCCTTGACGGTACACTTATGCAGGATAGTGCAGCTTCGCCATTAGCTTTCCACACTATTTCCAAAGTTTCTGATGCACTTTTACCTAATTTCACACAAAACTTTATCATGTACCGCTGTTCCAAACACGCTTGCATTTTTCTTAATATGAAGCACTTAAACAGGGTGTCACAAATGTCTCAATTCTGATAGGGCTGGAATGCAACTGATCAGTGTTTTAAGGTATACCTAGCAGCCCCCACCCCTAGTGACCTTGGCCAGCTTCTCCCTTTACAGAGCCCTTCTTAAGCATAGGAACTTCATTCTCATTATGTCCTGGACACACCTTGTATACATTGTCTTATGACTATTGAAGTAGTGGACTGGGGATCCTTTTTTTCTCGGATGAACTCCACTTCTGCAGGAGAGTGATTTAGGCTGGTTCTAGATTAGACATGGGAAGAGTTGGGGAGATAATTGAATATAAGGTACATTTCCCTCTCTTTTTGTAAGGTAATTCAAGTTTTACTTTAGTATTGCTCTAGCATTGAAATTTCACATTTTAGTTTTTTTCTCTGTAAATCCTCACATATTATAGATTAGTGCAAGTCCGTGGCCTGCTGTGGCTTCCTGGTGTTATGCTGTCTGGAGTATTTAACTAGAATAGGCACAATTTAACTAACATATTTAAACATAGATTGATAAGTTTGATTTATGTGCACAATACATTTCTAATAATTGTTTTTGTGTCTATTCTAGAACCAGCCTAACTCAATCTCCTGAGTTCATCCAAGAAATGCATAGAAGAATAAACGATCCCCAGTTCACTACGTCATTAGTCAATAGACAATGTATTTGTGAATACTATATGTAATATCTTTAGTAGAGGGAGTAAATAGAGTAATACATACATAGAGGCTGGGGTATGAGTAGCTGACACCAGCATAGACAGGAATCTGACACTCCTGGAAGGGTCAGTTTCCAATAAAACATGATGTATTCAAAAAGAACCTCCATGTCACTACTGCTTACTGTAATGAGAAGAGGTCAGCGGGAAGAACCAGTTAGAGTTGTGGGGGACCCAGGAGATTGACAATAGTGTCTGCAGATTTCACATGAAGATTTGACTAGAGGCTATAAACCTACCTTGTCTGTGAATACAACAGAAGCACCAAACAAAAGGTTAAGCAAAAGTCCAAAATGGTTTAATTGTTCTTTAGCAATAGCTAAACAGCCAACGTGCTATGGGAGCCACATGCCCTCTGTTAACCAGGGCCACAAGAAGAATACAATTATATACTGTATTATGAGCATTAAAAAATAGATACTGTATATATTTATTTCTGCCATGTGCTACTGCTCTGTCTATGAATGTGTGCCTAATGTTCTGAAATCTAAATAGGAAGTTTATAAAAAATTATATATATATATATATATATATATATATATATATATATATATATAAAACTCAATCCCATTGAGCACCTGTGGAGATATCTCAAAACAGCAGTTGGGAAAAGGAGCCCATCCAATCTGAGAGACCTGGAGCAGTTGGCTAAAGAAGAGTGGTCCAAAATTCCAGTAGAGAGGTGTAAGAAACTCATTGATGGTTACAGGAAGCAATGGATTTCAGTTATTTTTTTCTACGGCATGTGCTACCAAATATCAAATTGAGGGTGCCAATAATTTTGTCCAGTCCATTTTTGGGGCTTTGTGTGGAATGTATCAGATTTGGCTTTTTGTTTCTCCACTTTTTTGTGTCATACCAATACAAACAGAGATAAATGAGAATGCCTAAAGATTTGTAATTGCAACAATTTTCTGGGTGAAGTAGTACATTATCTGGCAGAAATGCAGGGGTGCCAATATTTTTGGCCATGACTGTATTTGTGGTATATTCCAAATTACATGCATTATTATTTTGCTGATTGACTATACATATCGTGTAATGTTGCTTCTTAGAGTTCATAAATGGTATAGAATGTTGCCTGTGAAGGACCATTCCGTGTATAGAAGATCTGCATCTATTTGGAATGTTTAGGGCTGACTAACCTGGGAGTCTGGATCCAGTTTTTTTTTGAACTGTTCTCTCCTGTAGTTTGATCCAGTATAATCTCAGTAGTTTTTATTCCCCCTGCCATCTAATCTGATCATAAGGTGTCAGCTTAATAAGTCTATTTGTGTCACATATTTGGCTTTGACCAGACTATTAAAGACTGATTTCACAACCCTGTTCATTTTCACAATCTCTGCATGAATAGAGAGAGGAGAACATGCTGCCAGCTTTACATTCCAGCAATTGTAGCAATGCTTCAGAGGATTAATTATTTGTAAGTAATATGGCATACTTTTGTTTTCCACTAATTGAAAATTCCACACACAGATTAGCCACCATGCACAGGGGATGAAATCCTGGTAATGATGCCATAATTTATTTAAAATGGTTTATTTTTGTATTTTCCATGCTCATTACATTATTATTTATTTATTTTTAGGAACCCCAGCAAAGTGAACAGAAAGTAAAAGCTAAACTATCGGTGAAACAGGAGCCAGAGTCCCAATGCGAGGACAAAAAGGTAATTTTCATTATGGTAGGTGTTGATGGCTGTTTAAGAAATCATCTGAGACCAGCCTTCATTGGTCTGCACTCTCCATAACCAAGAGCGTCTGCCCTATGTTTTTTATAAGATTTATGGAACATTGTTTTATCCCCTTTAAAGACCCTGCAGGTACAGAAAAAGACCTGTTGATTGTATCCTAATTTCCTATTGTGGGTTCAGATTATACTTCAGTTTTGTGGGCTGAAACTCCCCCTTCCTCATCTCCACAACACAGAGACTAATTGTTCTGTAGTCCATGAAAAGGACTAGGATGGCTCCTTGAGATAACATAGGAGGTGTACATAGAACAGCACTGAATTTCTGATATGATCAACAGGTATTTTTTGCACTTATCCAACAAATAACACAAAATGCCTTTAATGTAAATTTAACCGACCAAAATAAAGCAAATAAGAGAAATTCATGGTAAGGGTTTATATATACTTTAAAGTGTTTTTAAAGTCCTAAAGGTGTTGTTACTTTAAAGCATTCTCTGAATTAAGATTAAAAAAAAAAAAAACCTTGCACTGTGTGTCTCCCCCTCCCTAACACTTACCAGACACTTGTATCAATCCAGTACTGTACTCCGCTGCAGGTCTTCACTCCCTCTCTTCCTGGGTCTCACAGGCTTTGCTATCAATCAAATCCAGTGAGTGGAGGGCGGGACCATGCCGGACTGTGTGTGTCTGTGGACTCACACTGCCCGACTTGGGATCAAGCCTGCATGTCTGCCCCTATAGCAAGCAGCTTGCTGTGGAGGCAGACACAGAAGAGGAAGTAAGGGGCAGCTCTGTGCAGTACCATTTTAGTAAATAAAAAATTTGACTTTACAACCACTTTAAGCATCCATCTATACCTGCCCATACACATATTTTGTTCTTATAATGGGGTTATCTTGGTATCTGCTTCATTCAAAATGCCTTCCATTACAACAGTGAATGAAGCTGTATCTTTGCAAGCCATAGATTATAAGATTTTCTTTCCTGCAAGCACGGAAGAGGGATTCCGCTATCAACAATTAATGTATTGATGGGGGAATCCCTCCCTGCTGGGAGAGCACAATGATTACTGCTAGCGACTAGCCACAGGCAGTAATCCCATACTAAAAATCCAACATGCTGGTTGTACCCAAGTCAATTGATGGATAGACTTGAGTATAATCAGCCTGCCTATAGATGGATCGAATCTCAGCTAGTCCCTGCTGAACCAACCGAGATTCAGTCCATCTGTGGTCGGCTTCATTGTATTTTCACAGTCATACTGTGACCCATGAAGGGCACTAACAGTAAACAATAGTTACACTTCTACAATTCATACCTATGGTGTGCAGCTGGGTTTGGAAATGTATCACTATGTTCAAAAAATTGTCTTGCAGCTCACTGTGTTGGATAAATTCTGTTCCTCATAGAGATGGATGTATTGTGCATTAAAATGATTGTCATGGCATTTGCAATGTCCTAAGTTTCTCAATTATGAGAAAAACATATACAGAGATGTTTACAGCCTCCAGTTCATATCACAATTGCATGGCCTGCAGGCTGATAGACTTTTTGGCAGGTCAGTGGTGCTGGCCAATTTATTTTCCTTTAATAAGCTGTTAGAAAGTTAATTGACGGCAGTGTATTAACCAATAGAACCAGACTTCAGTTTTATTAATCAGACTATCAGACTTCATCTGAGATGTGCTGAAGTGTAGTTGGTACACACAGGAGCTAAGATTAAAATCTCCAAATGTGTGGTTGTCACTTAGAGATACAATAAAAGAAAGGTGTGTTTTTACAGGGTTTTTCTGCATTGCATTTTGATGTGGCTATTTTAATAATACACTATAAATTCAAACTTTCAAAACCCTTCATACAGACTATGGTGATGATGGTGCACCCAAAAGAGGAAAATGACGAAAACCTTCCTAGCAGACTTTTGATGACAGAGTTTCAAACGCTAGTTGTCATTCGACCATCAGGATGCAGACAGTATACTTCCAATGCCAAGCAAGGAAATGGACCTAATTTTAAAAAATTCAGAAAGGTAAACTGTTTAAGGGCTACTGTTTACATCATTCCAGCCCAACTTTATTGTGCTTTATTTTGTATTGCAATGGCTGTTCTTTCAGTTGATCCTTCCCCGTTTTTTGTTGGAGCTGGCTTGTTTTAAATCACTACTAAATTAACTACTTGGGGCAGAACAGTGGCTTTGGGGTTAGCAATTCTGCTGAGGCACGAGTCCCCAGTTTGATTCATTATCAGGACACTGTCAGCATGGAGTCTGCATGTTCTCTCTGTGCTTGCACAAGTTGCCTCTAGTTTCCCCCCATACTCTAAAGATATGCTGGTACTTTAATTGGATGCGGTCTAAATTGATGCTAGTTTTTGTTCATGCTTGTGAGTTAGGGACCTGAGATTGATAACTCTTTGAGGGCAGTGATGGATGTGAATGTACAATATGTAAAGAGCTGCTGCATACATTTTCAGTTTTATATAAATACTTGTAATAATGAGGGTGTACTCACATGATAAGGCATGTGCCACTCTTTTCAACTGAACCTTCATCTTCTTCATTTTTTATTGTGGTGGCGTTTTGATAAAAGGTAGTGTCTGTGTTTCAAGTGTATTTTGCATCAGCTTAAATTAGTCAGTGGCCAAATGTGCAATTATATCAACAGTTACTTGTATAAGGTACATTTACCACTGTTTAAAAAAAAAAAATTCAAGAAAGTAACTTCATGAAAACAGGAACTCAATTTCCACTTGTAATCATGTTACGTGTTACACCCTAAATATAGGTGTAATATGTAACATGGTCTAAAGGTGGATTTAGGGCTTGTTTTCACATGCGTTACACTGCTTAAAAAGCAATCCACATTCAGATTGCTTTCAGATACACATGGTGAGGAAGCAATATGCCACTTCCTCTCTGCGTGTTTCATGTCCCTGCACTGCAACATTGGAACCATGTATACTGCACTGGACTGGGTCAGGGGCAGTTGCAGCATAGATCCATTCACTTGAATTGGTCATGTTTGGTGGGCAGTAGTTCCCACTAAACACAACATGGGGTATAATCCTGCTGCAGCTGTAAAGCATGTGTACGCCCCTGGCCGTTGCATTTGCAGCTAAAGGGGGTGCAGTGGGGGACAGAAAAGACATCTTATATGTGTTGTTTCACCATCCCTCAGTCACAAATGTTAACAAGCCCTTGGCTTTTAAAACAGGGCAGCTAGAAGAACAGTTCCTGGAAAATGTTATATTTGCTTTTTAGTAGAATGTTGACCCCATTGCCTCATCATGAGTAATGTACTAAGTATAGGAATGAACGCTGCGATTGGGCTATGGAAGCAAAGCTTGCTTCTGTTTTTGTTCCTGATTCAGACCTGCTCAGGAACAAATGAGTGTCATCAACCAGGTCTTAAGCTTTTGAATTCTACTATGTGTGTATTACTGTTTGAGCTTTGTGACCCCAGAAAGTTTCACAGAAAGGATTTGTTTCCTTAAATAGGTTAATAGATTACTTTTATTAATTTAAACAGATTACTTATCCAGGAGCTGGAAGCTTTCCTCATATCATAGGAGGCTCTGACTTAATTGCTCATGACAAGAAGAAGAATTCAGAACTAGAACAATGGTTACGTCAGGAAATGGAGGTAAAGACCGACAAGTTAACAGTTTCAGCTTTGAATTGAAATGACATGCTGTTCTTCTTGACCTATTGACTAGTTCATTTCCCTCCCCAGTGGCTGGATTACAACACAGTTTTCTTGGTTGTGATCAGTTAAAAATCCTTTCCCTCTGGTTAGCACCCCACCATCTGAATGGCTGATATGAAAAAATAATCCCTTTTTCAACGCACAGTTCATACTATTACACATCTCTCTTCCCCTTCTGCAGTGAAACAAAGTTCATTGCAGCGCAGAAAGCACAACATTGTTGAACAGAGACCGTGCATGACTGTAGCAGCCAAGAATATGGCAGTAATAGATACACACCCCTGGTAAAATGTCAGCTTTCTGTGATGTAAAAAAATGAGACAAAGATAAATAATTTCAGAACTTTTTCCACCTTTAATGTAACCTATAAACTGTAAACCTATAAACTCAGTTGAACAACAAACAAATCTTTTATGTGGAAGGAAGAAAAATTAAAAACTAAAATAATATGGTTGCATAAGTGTGCACACCCTTAAACTAATACTTTGTTGAAGCACCTTTTGATTTTATTATAGCAAATAAGCAAATCTTATTTTTTTTTTTTTTTTTGGCTGAATGTTAAAAACAGACGTATACATTTCATTTCATAGTAGGTCAGACCTTTCCCTAATGGCTCTCAGTTTCCAGAAAGTCTCTGTATACAGTGCCCAGTGTATAATTCTTCATTTCTGTGGTTCATACTGTAAATAACATCATCAGGCTTAAACTAACATTAGCAGCTCGGGGCCTGTTTATTACATTACAAAAACCAGAAGAGGAGTTGATTTCTTTGAATTAATATATTGTGTACAGAAATGAACTGCATTTCTTGTAATCCTTAGACTCAGTTTTAATCAGAATTACCACTTTCCTGAGGACCCATACACATGATATTTAGGATTTGTCTTAGTGTTCTTCAAGCCCTCTCAGCTCTCCCTGATGCTGGGACAGAAGGAGTGTGTTGATTTTCTTAAAGAGTTGAGGCTATACACTTAGCAAAGTGTTTACCTTGGTTTCATTTGTGCTTAAAGTGGAACTCCAGTCACAGGCACCTTTACAAATAAGTTACCTCTTGCCAGATGTTCTACATGCTCAGCTCTATCCTGTTTACTGTATACATTATTTATTTTTCTTGCATCCAACGCTCGACTTTTGGTGCTGCCTTTGAGAGCTTTGTATTTCATACAGTAAAGGGATCCTGTAAATTACACTCTGTTTCCTTAAATTAAACATGAACAGAACACAAGGCATTATGTGAATGGACGAAGAGAGAGGAGGGACAGGTATATGACAGTATGGCTTCTGTGTATGAGACACAGCTGCTGTCCATTCAAAGGGTGCCTTGTTTTCTGTTCACAGAATACAAGGGGTTTTGTGAATAGACAAGGAGAAAGAAAGGGAGAGTAAACAACAGGATCCTTTCACTGTGTGGTAGCCAAAGTTTTCAAGGTCCGTGCCTAAAATAGAGCCCTTGGTCATAGTATCAGGCTGCTAAAAATGAATTAAATATATGGTAAACAGGATGGAGTTGAGCATGTAATACAACTCACTGGAGCTAACTTATTTTCTCCCTTATGAATTTGTAAATATTCCTGTGACTGGAGTTCCACTCTAAAGTGAGCACAGCTTCACCTTATTTACTAAGCTTTTGAAAGAACCACCTTGTATATTCCTAGTCTTCAATCCCAATGTGTTATGTGGAATAGATGAGCACACAAGTACTTAATATGTATTCTTTTTGTGCTCTGCATCCTACAATGGTTGTGCATGTAGGGTCTACAAGCTTTGACCATGTGGTGCTAATCCTTGCTACTGGCACAGGATATCTAACTAGCCGAAAAAATAAAGCTGACATTATAGCTATGATAACGATACCAATGTAGGCTATAGTTTACATCTTCACTACATTGTGGGTGATTAAGACAGAATTCCAAACTGCATACTTTTTCCAAGTAAATTTTTCAGTAAGCTGTCAAGCTAGGAGATGAGAATGATAGAATTCCATTATAGGAAAGCTGTACTGAGGGAATACGATTGTGGTCATTGCTGGCCTCTCCTAATGATAATGCTCATTGACAGACTTTCATGTTGATTCAATGGTACATAGTCCTTATCTGTTCTCCCTACCTAGTCATTGACCTGGAACATTCTTTCAGCTTAAAGGTGTTTACTTCATGCTGCATGTTTGTCCTGCGTCTTTCATTTTGTGTACAGCAAGGATGAAGATGACGGCATCTTAAGCTCCCTGTAAGGCATAGCAGTACTGTTGTGTGTGTTTAGTTTTGTTCTTTTACTATGTTAAGCATTTCTATTCTAGCACGCATTATGCAATTGCCACGTTTTTCTCCTCTGCATGAACCTAATATGATCAAGCTGAAACTCAGAGATGGCTTGCTACATAATGACATTTATGTAACTTGAACTTATTATTGCGCTTTTTACAGGAGCAGACTCAACAAGCTAGAGAACAATCCCTAGCCGAGGATCTGTTCAGGTCAGTATACACTTAAGGAAATCTCATTATATATGATATATATGACAAATGGATTTTACAGAAACACATTTGTGGTTGCTTTATTTGTATGGTGCATGCAGAATCACTTTTGATCTGCAATCTAATATTTTCACTGACTCACTCACTTATAAAATCATTTAGGCAGCTGTTCCCTGAGCCTGGAAATGTACTTTCAGTACTATATTACATACGTGTTACATTACTCAAGTGACAATAAAATAGTCAGTATTATTAATAAGGCTTGGAACATTTTCCAGTCACTGAGGATTCAAAGTTGACAGGAAGCAATTTGTGAAAAGGTTTCCATTCCTGGCTGATTTCTACTTTATTTCTCATTTCTTCTGTTCTCTATTAGATAAGTTCCGAGCAGCTTGAAATGTTACAAGCTAAGTTCAGCCCTTTAAACTTAGAATTGGAACTTGTTCTGCATGCTGTACAAGAGTGCTTCTCAACCTTTTTTCAGTCACAGCACCCTTTAAAATTATGGTCAGTTCTGAGGCACCCTTTCAAATTATGGACAGTCTTGCGGCACCCCATTTCAAAATGGGGTGCTCTAAACTGTCCACAATTTTAAAAGGGCACCCCATTCTAAAAGGTAAAAACTATTCTAATTGTTATATATAATGCAGCAACATCCACACACGTAGGACACCCAACATTAGAGGTGATTTATTTTTTCAAAGCAAATACACTTTTGCACACTGGTACTGACTAGTATTCCAGTGTTTCTCTTCACCCTCAGTTTTTCTCCATCACCGAGCTAATGTGACCACATCACTGATGGAGAGGGGCAGGGGAGGGGCAAACTAGGATGCTGTGCAGGTAATCGACATCCTGCTTATCACCTGATGAGGTTATTGGTTGTCAGGACGCACGGTGGCTAGACGGTTGGAATGGTGTACAATGAAAACCTGTGGCTATTCTCTCTTGAGGAGATTAATGGGGGATATGATCAACATGTATAAATACATCAGTGGTTCATATAGTGAACTCGGTGTAGAGTTATTCAAGAAATTTAATCTCCAAACACGGAAAGGTTTCTTCACAGTGAGAGCTGTGAAAATAGACTCCCTCAAGAGTTGGTTCTGACCAGCTCAGTGTATTGCTTTAAAAAAGGCCTGGAGTCTTTCTTGGATACACAGAATATAACTGGATACTAACATTTATAGGTTAAGTTGATCCAGGGAATATCCGATTGCCTCTCGGGGGATCAGGAAGGAACTTTTCCCCTGCAGGAGCAAATTGGATTATGCTTTGCTGGGTTTTTTTTGCCTTCCTCTGGATCAACTGTGGGTATAGGATTATAACTTTTTTTTTATGGTTGAACTGGATGGACATTTGTCTTTTTTCAGTCAGACTAACTATGTAACTATGTAAAACGTCTTCCTCTGACAATCTTGGGAGAGCCAAGTATCGCAGTGCAAACAAGTAACCTTGTTTTCTGCACATCAGCAGTTTTTCATTCTTGAGGCACTTCAAATTGGGGATCCAAACCCTCTAAGGTACCCACTGGCAGGCCCATCGTTTCTGGAAGGACTTCTAAGCCTGCAAATGTGTCCCCCACAGCATGAATATTTATGCCACGTGCTCACATCAGAGTGGGGGGTTGTCTTTGTTGGTTCACAGGTCCTTGGAATTCTCATGTAGTGGCTTCTCTTCTTCAGGGGGTTGTTTCCAGGCCTCTTTAGACAATTCAAGATGTGTACCTGCACGTCTCTATCTGTGCAAGGCTTGAGTGTTTTCTGAGCTTTGCAATAGGGGAGGAGCACTACCAAATTCTTGCCCTTCTTTTTAGTCTTGCCTCCTCCCCCTTGAGTATTTGCTGAGTTGCTGGCCCCCAGTTCTAGTTTTGCTTTCTCTGAGTTCATTGAAGAACACAAATAAAGTGTAATTTTAGTCAGATAATTAATTCCTGCTGTTTCACTTTATGCTGGCCCCTTTTGCAGGTATAGCTATGTAAAACATTAAAAATAGGTGTCTATACTGTTCCAAATCTAGTAATATAGTGTCAAACCCTGCTGTGCACATGCTCAGTTGCTCTCCTTTTTTTTAGGCACTTTGCTGAAAAATGTCAATTTTAAATATAGATGTAGAATCTGCTGACAGCCCTAAGATTTACTGCTGCTCAGTCTCCAGCAAGTAGAAACAGATGAAATGATAGAGGAAGTTTCCAGCACACACTCATTTTGGTAGCATAATGATTAATGTGAAAAGTATGTTCCTTGCTAAAGAAGTTGTTATGGGTAAAGTTCCACTTCAATGCCCCTCTCATATTTTCTGTACTGCTTTATAATTATGGCAGATGGGGGGGGTCTAGTAAGGACTGCTCCTAGACGGTGCTTTTGTTGTTTTTTTTCTACCTTGTGTTCTACCCCTGAAGGTAGCACTATAACTCTATGCTCAAGAATCTTGCCAAGCAGTGTCCTTTAAAGCTGTAGTAAACCACCCTCCTGCAAAATAATGACATAATGTGCATGCTAGTATGCATAGCATACTAACACATTATGAAAGACTTACCTTAGATCAAAGCCCTCCAGCGGTGCGCTGTCACAGCTGACAGGGCTTCTATCTTCACCCGGTCTTTCTTCCTGGTTTGCGAGCTCTGGACTCTAGATCGGTCGAACCACGATGACATCACTCCTGCGTAAATGTACAGGAGTCTTGGCTGCAGCACAGCACAGAGCTCTGAAGAAACCGCTTGGGTATGCCATTCCTTCAGAGCGCATGCACCGGTGACGTCATTGGTGCATGTACATACAGGAATGGTTTATTATAAGCTTACCTATTAGTGTCCAGTGGGAGTTTACATCCACCTTACCGAACTCCGAGAAAGGGATTTTACAGTGAGTAGAATAAATCCCATTATTTTACATGCTGCATCTGATTTACCTTTACAGGATTGCTTAAAGTCTTCTACCCCAGGTTTTATTTTACAGTTAGTAACCACAAGGCTTAATGCAAAGCAGCTTAAAACTTTTATATATATTTATATAACATTTGATTTGTTCTATTAACCCTCCGTTCACATCAAGCCCGAATTACAGTGAAGTTGCACGATTTCAAAGTTGGAGGAACCGCCGATTTCAGGTGCAATTTGCAAGACATCTGATACAGATGTCTATGCAAATCGCACCAAAAGTAGTAAATGTGCTACGTTTGAAATCAGTGCGGTTCCGACCAAGTCGGAACCGCACCGATATGACCACTCCAATTGCTAGACAGTAGGGTGCAACTTGGCATGCAGTTTGCAAGTTGCAGGGCATTCAAATCACATGCCAAGTCCCATCCAGTGTGAACCACGGCTGGTGGTGACCTGCAGCCCTGCTCATTCCAATTGAGTACAATTCTGTACTATTGTGCAGAACTCTTGGTCTGCATACGTGCACCCATTTCTTGGACTTAAAGAGCATTAAAACCATTAGATCATCATGACAACTAGATAATGATTATTCTATGGAGGGGTCAGCAGAGAGCGCCCACACATTTCTTGGTACAGGATTGTTTTCAAAGAACAAAGGTTCTCAGGCAAACAATCCAGATCAATCCACGACAGGTGCAGGCTCTGGCTCGCCACCACACACGATGCAATAGGAAGAAGGATCAGCCGCACACCGGAGGATAGATGAATATAGTGTGTATTTATTCATCCATAGGACACACAAAACACCAGGACATGAATACAGGACCTGTTAACGCGTTTCACATGATCTCATGATTAATCGTAAAGCTTAATCATAAGCACGAGATCGTGTGAAACGCGTTAACTTGTCCTGTATTCATGTCATGGTGTTTTGTGTGTCCTATGGATGAATAAATACACACTATATTCATCTATCCTCCTGTGTGCTGCTGACTCTTCTTCCTTTTACAGGATTGTTTTACTGATACAATCTTGAGAGACAAGATTTGAGTTGCTTACACAGTATGTGTAATAGGTATGCAAAACGATTGGGCCCTGTGCAAATTCTTCCCTCTCTGCTTGTTTATCTGCTCTGAATATTGATCATAATCATTTCTATATTGAGTCACATTTACTCACCAAGACAGGTTTGAATCTGACCAGTGGTTGTGATGAGCTGTGGTTGTGATGAGATTATAATTTAGAACAAACACTTTAACATGTTAGGCTGTATTTATAGAAGAAGAGTATGAAGTGGGTGTGCTAGAGAATAGTTCTATTGCATTTCACAAGGCTAAGGAAAAGATGTTCCTAGATAACTTTCTTTCAGCTATTCCTGGATTAATTCAGAAGCCCTGATAGGGAAAGCTTTGCTGTCTGCTTGCATTTCAGAGTGCACCTGTATGATTATGCTTCATATAGAAGTGTATTAAGTCTCTATATATGAGTCAGAAATCAGCAGAGGGTTATGTGTTTACCTAGGCACAGAGCTATAGCACTGTGTACTCTTAGGGTGTTTGTCAGAGCCTGGGGGGGGAAGCTGCCCTTCGAGTTATTTTCAGTCACTTGTGTGCTTTTTCCTTCCTGTCTTCTATGAAGGATAATCAGGAGTTGCCTGGAAACAGCAGCCATCTGCAATTATATTCTCAGCTAACTGATGATGCAATTTGGCTGCAGCATTTCCCCTGCCTAAATAAATAGGGCTCAGTAAACAGGCTCAAGGAAAACGTGAAAATGTAATTACCTTAGTGTAACTCAAGCATTTAGTAATGCACATTCAAATCATTTTCAGCAGTGATTAAAATTTTACATCAAAGATATTTTACATATATATATATATACACACACTGCTCAAAAAAGAATTAAAGGAACCCTTTTTAATCAGAATATAGCATCAAGTCAATGAAACCCCTGGGATATTGATCTGGTCAGTTAAGTAGCAGAGGGGGTTGTTAATCAGTTTCAGCTTTGTTGGTGTTAATGAAATTAGCAACAGGCGCACTAAATGGGCAACAATGAGATGACCCCCAAAACAGGAATGGTTTTGCAGGTGGAGGCCTGACATTTTTTCCGTACTCAT